GCCAATAGAGTAAAGTTGGAGTAATGCCAACTTCGAGTTCGCCGAAGTTCTTCGGGCAGGGCTCCGTCAGGCCTGATCGTCTCATCAATGTCCGCTTGAATGCTTGCTACTTCCTGCTTGACAAGCTCCTTGTTGTCGACGAAAAGAGCAATAGCAGACACAAGCATACAGGTAAAACTTCCATGGTTATTTTTTTCTGCACGCTCAGCCTTGCCAAACTCGCTCTCGGTCAACCATTTTAGGAATTCCCGATTCCACTGACGGAACCCGTCCATATCTTCGACTTGCCACCCAGGCGCTGACCCGCCAGACGGACTACCGCTATCAAGAATGACGGCGATGTCGAGAAGTGTAGTGTACCATTGAGAAAAGTCAATGATGCCAATATGGCGCCCTGTGTTGGCAAATGGGATAAGCTGTGCGTGGTTGAGATTCGGGTTCATGCGGGTTTGTGGGTTTATGAACCATGTCCTGATGATATTCGCGGCGTGTCTGGCATAGACCTCATTGCCAGTGTAAAACCATGCAAGGCCGAGAGCCGATGATGAAGCAAAGACTTTTTCGACATTCACGCGATCGCTGTAATTGAGAACCTCGGGGTTCCTTTCGCCATCCCTCTGCACATATGGATTTCCATCCGGCGTTGGTGATGGCCACCAATAAGGTGCTTGGCTGGTGTAATCGTGCATGTCGCCGCTTGGGGGAGCTTTCTTCTTCTCCATGACGGACCATGGACCTTGGGTAAGCCATTCGTCCGCTTTGCCTTTCAATACTTCGAGAGATCTCTCTAGAACGGCGTCGTTGCCGCCCTGCAACCGAATTCTAGCCTCGATGAGCCGCTCGCCATCAAGAACAATAGTCTTGAGACTTGGGGATGCGGTACTTTGAGGGGTTGTCATGTTTAAGTCAAATGCTTGCGTTCAAGGTAATGGGTTGTCACATTTGACCTGGAATTTCTGCATGTTATTTTGAGTCCTCCCGCCAAGATATACTGACTTATTAATTTCTTACTACCTGAATTTATTCCATCACTTCACTTTCACTACGTTGTTAACCCACTGAATACCTCCTCTTTGTGGTGGTAGTGGGATAAATTGATCGCACTTGGACTGGATCTAATTGGCTCTCTACCTTCTGTAAGCGTCCGCTGTGGCTAATCGGCCGTTCGGCACAACGGCCATCGGGGTAATGCCTCTCCGCTAACGAGTCCGCAATATGCCGTTGACCGATGATCCGGCCTTTGCTTCGAAACAGTGAAAATGGAAATTGTTCGTCTCAGTACTATTGCGCTTCCTAATACAAGCGAGAAGAATGGTGAAATCCGATAGAGTGATTACGCAGGACTTGAATTAACCTTTCGGACACGTTACTAGTACTAGGTATGTATGTCCTTCGCCGCATCAAATGTCGGGAGATGCCCTCGGAGGTGAAGCCTCATAGAGCAAAAGGCATCTATGGACGATAAAATAGTGCGATTAGAGGCAACAATGACGCTTAGGTACTATCCTTTCTTGTTTATTTGCTCCCTCACGTTATGTCCTTGAACACACACTCTTGCGCAACCACTGTATTCCAAATTCGAGAGTCCATTATATCCTGAGTTCGCCTTAGCCAGAGAGGCCTACTCCTCTTGTAGAATCGAATGCAAAGAAATCAGCGCCCTGCAGCGAAATGACGCGATCCATTTCCAAGAACTGATTTCCTAATAACATATTCGACATGGTTGTTAGTTCGTCCTCCTCGGCTATTATTGACTGGTTATGGGGAAAGCTATTAGCGGCATTCATGTCGTTCATCAAAGCGATGGAAGGACCATGCATGTTCCTCATATTTGCATTAGCTGATGACGTTGCCAATGGTGATTGCCCTACTCCTGATTGGGAACTTATATCGTCTTGAGGCTGTGGAACTTCCCGGACTCCGTACGCAGCCGAAGATCTTGTGAGAGCGGGAGATCTGTGTGACTGATAATTGGAACGCATATCCGACGCTCTTGTGGGAGATGGGACGCCAGCCCTTTGGTATGCTTCAAACCCTGATGAATAACGTCTGTGTGATTGGCCGTTATGATTCCTGTAATCAGTGCCGCTGGGCGATATGACTGAGTTGGTTTGTACTGTTGCTTCGATGAAGCCATACAGGCTCGCATCGCCTAGGGTCTCTATGAGGTCGATTGTTGAGAATGTCACATCATTTAGACAGCGGGAGTGCAGACTTTCGAGCTGCTCTGCATATCTTCCAGCCAAGTCTAGGGGTCGTTGTCGATCTGGAGCACTACCAAAGGTGCTCCCATATGTGTAGTATCCGTGCCATTTGTCCGACATATCTTTTAAGCTCTGCAGGAGGTTGAAAAACTCGGTCTCCAAGGTATGAGTTTCACTGGAGTGCCAGTGAATGAGCAAAATCCTAGCGGCGACAAAAGCGCAAAATGCGAATTGAGCATTAACGATGCCCCCCATAAACCTCAGATATTTTTGCACAATTGACGATGTTTCAACTGCTGCAAGGTGGCATGTCTCGGCACTGCATGAGCTGGGTAGCTTGACCACATTCTTCCAGCGCGCAGGTGGGTACGCAATATGTTGATGGAGTAGTATCATTGAAGTATTGTGAGATACATGAGCCAATGTCAGGTTTGGGTCAAGTTTCAATATTAAAACATCTCGAGAGACGTTTGAGTCTTGCCATTGCTTCGGCAGGAACATCTTCCAACTAATGAAGAAATAAGTCAGTGAGAATTAACAGAGTGGATTGAGGGAGGCCATACTGAACCAGACGAAGGTCGAGTTCTTTGAACCTTGTTAACCAGTTCTTGACTTCATCCCGGTTACCAAAGTTCACACTCTGCTGCAAGAAGAATGAGGTGACTTGGCTGAGATTTTCCGTTGCTTCGATACAATACGCAAAGGCCCCAAGTTTTGAGACGTCTACATCTCCATTGGACCCAGGGCTAGGGTGGTCAATCGCCACCTTTGGTGATACATAGATTGTAGGTGCACTCGATATTGAATTGCCGATTTTCGCTGTCGATTTATCCCATATTCCAAAATATGGCGTTGAAACGGGCTCTGCTCTCGCCCACATTGCTCCGCCGCAAGGGAGGCGCCGATGAACGTCGTCAGATGTGAGACTCGTATGCCATCTACATAAGTTAGTCTGTAGTTACCACATCCGTGGCCGTAAGCCCTTACCCAGTAGTGACAGAACATATTCTATAATATTTGATCAGTTGCTTGATTACTACGTATGTAGGACAGCGGGTTTACCTGTCCAAGAGAAAAATACTCCAGAAAAGTCTTCGGCGTGCTTCGGAATCTGTCCAGTCCAGTGGTTTTTCCAAGACGGTTAAAGATCTTAATAAAGGCTGCTTCGGTGAGTCCTCGTCTGGCTCTACCGTTAGCTGTAGGTAGTCAACAACCCTCGTTAATGAAGCTATTATAGGCCATGCTTTTTGAACGTGACCGCTTCCCATCTGGAGAATTCTTAGTATTCCGTCAGAACCAAGGAGAAGCGGTTGCCTACATAGTCGAAAGCAATAATCACCAACGCTTGGGTGTTCTCAATGGAAAGCGATTCCATCGCATTCTCCATCACCGTGCTTCGAGAGATGCGAATCTGTCTTGTGACGTCCTGAATACTCATTCCAAAGGCCGTACAGTCAACATATTTAATTCCTGCGGAAAGTAAAGCGTGAAGGAGCACGGTAAGCTTTTGCCTCTGGGCGGGGTCTTTAAATTTGGCTCGAAATCTCGTTTCGTGGAGGATCGGTATCCAGTGATGCACTGTCTGGAAATGAGCTTCCACTACTGCTTCTAACAGCGGATATTGTGGCAATGGCGTAATCCAAGAATCATCAATTGTATCGCAGTATCGGTCCTGTTCATCTCCAATGCGTTGTCGTTTCCTGCGGTGATGGTCTGATTGAGGGGCGGTTTCGACTAGGGAGTCTTGACCCGCATGTCGAGGTGCATCATACGGTCCCTGTTGCCTTTCCATCGAAGGAGATGTCGTGGATGAGAGTTCGCTTCTCATAGGTCTCTCAAGATCCCCATTCAACAAAGCAACTAGCCTCGCTTTTGTATTGCCAGAAGTATCCAGAAGAATCTGCTCCAATGTTTCTACTCTGGTTAGTAAATTGTAGAAAATGCAGGCAGATAAAGGTTATCCTACCGAGTCGTCGACTGAGACTATCGACAGCCCCAGCCTTGATACCAGGTTTTTGCTTTACAACATACTGACATTCAGCACCTGGGAGCACATTTTGTTATCACCTATCCATAAAGATAACATCAGGAACGCGGGTGCCGAATTACCTATCTTGATACATTGAGCGCAACTCGGTCTCTCACGGGAGCATCGAGACTTCCTTCTCCTGCATGAAAGGCACGCAGGCAACTCATCAGGGTGTGGTGAACCTTCGTCTTCTCCACCCGCCGACCGTGCTGGGCTTCTCATATTGCGTGGAACTTGGTCCATCTTACAGTCTCTGCTCTCAACTATAAGACGACGGAGATGGTCTCGATGAATCGCATTCCTAATTACGCTTAAGCGCAGATATGTCCATACAAGGCATGAGACGATGCTGATATCGTTGCGCTGCACGCACGTCGCGTGTTCCTGGCCGCCCCAAGAAACAGGGTGACGCAGGGTCTGCTCACCCCAGTTAAGCAGCTTTCTAGGTTGGTCAGCTGTTTGCGGGGGCTTCTTCACTACCACTAACCATCGATTGTTAGTCTTTACGGCACTATTACCACTAGCACTCACACTTTGGGGAAAAGCGGCAAATCTCAGCTGTTGGGCGGGTCTGTCGTTGGAGGAATTTCCACCACTGAGCTTGCTGATAACTGACTTCAATTACAACATTTGATACATACTGGTGTGCGTTAGAGGTAGTGAATTCCATATATTACGCGTAAAACTATGTACTAAATAGTATACTTCGTTGAGAGAGTAGATCCAAAATTCAGATCGTCATATAATAACATTACATCAACAACAACTCATCCAACATGAACCGCAGTCGTAGCCTCGTTAATCTCGCCTCTTTTCTCGTCAACCTCCTCGGCGCCTTCGTGAAGCTTTGCCTCGACAGAGTTAAGGCCGTCGAAGAGTTGCGCAACTTCCTCCAGTGAGAGGTTCTTGGTCTCAGGGTAAAAGAAGTATATGATGCAAAAGTTGCTGACAAGAACACAACACCAAACAATATAATACTTCCAACCTATCTTCGCCAGTCCAATTGGATTAGTGTACCCCGAGAAGATATTCGCCGCTGCATCGCCAAAGCTAGAAATGACAAAAGCTTTGGCACGCAGATCAAAGGGCGCCACCTCAGCAACGTACGAGTTGAGCATACAGCCAGGCATTTTGTAAAAGACGCCGAAGAGGAAAATGGTAAAAATAGTAGCCCGGCCGAGAGCATGGTTCTCGTAATTGATGCTTGTGTTGACTCCCGTGAATACTGTGAGCAACAAGAATGCGACAAACATTCCACTCATACCAATCAGCCACATGGGGCGACGGCCTATCTTGTCGATGAAGAGCGAAAATAGATTGCCCCAAACCCAACCGTTGATAGTGATACCGCCATTGAGAAGGAGTTGTTGCTTGCTGTTGGTAATACCGATGGAGTTGAAGACGAGATGAATGTAGTATGACAGTAAGGCATTTCCACACCATTGAATGATGAAACCGGATGTCACAATGATGAAGAGTCGGTATCGATTAGCGGCGGTTCGGAACCATCCCATCCATGAAGACAATGCTTGCACCTTCTCTGCCTCAATCGCCGCTTCGATTTCTGCCATCTCATATTGTAAAAGTTGCGAAGACTCGTCGCCTTCAGCGTGATACTTGGCCAGAATCTCGTATGCCTCTTTGCTGCGGTTCTGATAGACAAGCCATCTAGGTGACTCGGGAATGAAGAAAGACATGACCAGTTGGAAACAGGAAGATGATGCCTGAAGAAGCGAAGGAAGTCGCCATGACCAAGATCCAACGATGAATGAAGTTCCGTAAGTGATCCATGCCGCCATAATTTGGCCTAGTGAGCCAGTTGTATTCTGAATACCAATGATCTGTGTCCTCTGAAATGGATGAGCCAGCTCGCTCGCCAAGATCGGGCTGCATGGATAGTTAGCCAACGCTGTACTACTATTATGGCTTTCCACCAACTCACCATGCTGTATTCTGGATCGTATTTCCGAAGCCAATCAGACACCTAGCGAACACGAACATGGCGTAATTTTGGGCGCTGGCCTGAAGCGCAACTCCGATGAGCAGAAGAAGAGAGCCAATTGTAATTGGACGTCGAGGTCCAAGCCATTGAATCAAGGGAGCAGCGATGAGGAGAGCGGCAAGTTGTCCATATCTCGTGCCGTTAGAAATCGTACCGAGACGAGTACCTGAAATTTTGATTAGGATTGAACATTTATATGAGCGTAATCGGAGATGTCACTCGTACCTGTCGGATGATCCAAGGCCTCTTGCCATGACGGGAGTGATTGAAGCCCGTTCAGCATAGATCCATCATATCCATTGGTCATATCACAAACAATACAGCCAAGTAAAAGAAAGTTAAGACTGCGAAGACCAGGATAGTGCCACCAAAAGCGGTCGCGCTTGTCGGTCTCGCGGAGGGTATGACCCTCAACACCGCGGACCGAAGCTTTGTTAACGTGAAACATTGCACAAGCTGGCGAACGCCAAAGACTTGCTTTGAGCTTATTCAGTAGATGAGAGCCCTAGATCAATGAAGATAGCAGATGTCGGTTAAAACATTGCTGGTTTCACAAAGGAAGTCGTGACCTATTAATGGCTGGCAGACAAACACCTAGCAACGCAGCATGGGACGCAGGCAAGGCTCTCAGACGGGCCGAACCAACTCACTGGCTAGCTTCACATATAACGCTGACCGGTAAGCCTTCCTCCCGCTTGCCGCCACTCGGTAAAGAAGCAAGTGTGTCCTGGGGAATGCGGGATGAACTTTGGGGATGGTGTCTGTCTTCCCCATGGGGTAAAAGTTTGATCAAGTAAAAGGGTTGGAGTGGGGCATGTGATTGAAGCCATTGTCTGTAATTGTCTAGAAGACTAATGAAGTCTTGTGAACACAACAGCTAAGATCTCTCGTGGACTGATCAGTAGTGCCAGCACTCCGGCGTGCGGAGTAGTGCGATGCCGATGCACCGGGGGGCTGTCCGAAGGTAGGGATTCGATGCCGAAGACCCGAAGCTGAGGCCCGATTTACGGGGGGAGGAGGGGGCTAGCGTAGCCACAGGTTGTGAGACGGGGAAATCCTCGAGCATCCGGAGAACTGAGAGGTAACGTTCTACATAGTCCCAGTTCATTAAATTGTGTATTGGGGGCGGTAGATTAAAGATCTGGAGTGTCAATCTCCAGGACGCAAAGCAAAACGAACGCAACCATCCTCAGCCAGGCGCATTGTAGCCCACTAGGGTCGACGTTGTAGATGACTTGTAAAAATATATCGGAAATTGACATATTGTTCACAACTATAATGACATTTGCGAACTAATAGTAAGGTTAGAGCATGAAAAGTAATTCATTGAATAAATAGTCAGACATAATATTTTGGCGACGTCTCTACGCAGTGGCAACATCGCTCTTGATCCCTGTGTTCTAGTTTACAGGGTAGTACGCGGTACCAAAGAGCATGTGGAATTCCACAAACAATATGATAAGCGAGAATATAATGAATATGCTTCTAAGCAGCAATGGTTTGTGTTATATTGATAACATATTTCTTTCTTTTCTTCTATTAAGTATAGAATGGAGACATGGTTGCTTGTGGAGCAGCACAGATATGCCTTATTTGAAACGCGTCCAAGATGTCGATGGACTGGTAAAACGGTGATATATTCCGAGCATTGCTCTAGTTTCCTGAGCGAGAGTAATGTTTGACAATCTCTATATCAATTCCCTCGTTTTTGAATATTCTTTCAACTTCATCGAGTGCTGGAACTGCGGGTGGCTGTGACCAGCGTTCTTTGGCCGACGGGCCAGCAAGAACCGCGCAAGCAAAAACCCGAGTCTCATTTGCCTCAACTGTTCCCTTGAGCTGGGGAACAAGTGTGCGTGGGAACATAAGACTGGTATTGCCGTGAGGCTTGGTGACTCTCGCCACTCGCTTTGGTAACGGTGAGGCATCTAGTATACCACTGAAGTCGCTAGTCGTAGATATCGCATACGCGGCGCCGTCGTCTTCTTGAGTCTTATCCGCGTTGAAATCAGTTCTCGGTGCTGCAAATCCACCTTCGATAGTGGTCAGTCTCCGTGGCGATTGAATGCGATGAATGCGGATATGCCAGTCTGGGTATGGAATAAGCCAAGTTTCGATCAGAACGTCGGACCACGGACGCCACGATGAGTAAATCTTGCTTCCCGCCATTCTAGCAGTTTCACAATGTTCTCGAACCCTATAGTGTATGCCATCGTCGCTCAGTGCAATCATGCTATCAAAGGCACCGACGTCAAATGCTCGACTATCGCTCTCGACAGAGAAGCCGTACCGAGTTGAATAGGCAAATTTAAGATATTTCTCTGGTACAAAGCGCATCGCCTTATTTGAATCCGGTCCAGAGTTAAGCATAATTGTATGACCAGGCGTATGCATGAAAGTAAGACCTGGCACTGGAAATGCAGCTACTGAGGGACGCTGAGGCATGGGAAGCTCTTCCGCCGTCCAGAATGGGTGGTCCGCCGGCAAGCTCAATGGACTGAACGCTTTCATGGCCCAATATGGTGAACCAGTCGATAGATATCGCTCCGCCATAAATGGGTTTGGGTACGCATAACCAAGCGTCAAGATACCATCGCGCCGAGAGATGGGCTGGGCTGCCCACCATCGAAGGTTGCGTAGATAGATGCCCTTGATGACACCCCAAGGCAATGCCTCGACACCAGCCACTGCCAGGTATCCCCAGTAAGCGGCAACACATTGTCTATATGACAAGCTCCGGCCGTAGGGAATGTTGGAGCCTGAATCTGCAAACCAATGCATGAAGACAGGAGCAAATTCTCGCGCCCTCTCCTTAAATCGGTCGCCACGCGCCTTGTCTGACGGCCGATGGACTGCATAAAATAATCCGTAGTAGTGCATCGCAAAGGGATTATAATAATCAATACGGCGTGTATCGCCTTCGTCTTCTCCGTCGCGATACCATCCATCTGATATGTAGAGACTTTCCATGTCGTCCAAGTACTCATTTGTTCCAGCAGTATCAACTTCGACACCGACACTCTCCAGGGCGAGATCGACCATTATTCGGAAATATTTATGGTTATTTGATCCATGCTCTCCATTGCGGCTCGATAGTAACCATTTACTAACATTGCTCTTCACTGTATCATCGAGTGGCTTCCAATACTGATCGGGGGCGAGCAAGATGGCATATGCGAGTGCAGCTGCCTCCACATGTCTTTGGTCCATTGATGGTACTGGTCCCCAATACTCTGGATGCTGCGGATCTGTGCCATTCTTGAGTCCTTCCCTGTACTTTTCCCAATGATCAAACTTTCCTCCGCCAGCAACCAAAGGCGCAATCCCAAACAACGGTCTGGCGTAGCCTTCTAAATCACATGCCGCGCGGTCCCATGTAGACGTGGACGCATCGATTTGAACCCGGGCATTTCCTTCGGAGAAAGCAGGCAACAAAGGTTCAAATAGTGAAATAACTGCCTTCGCAACATCATCTCTTGTTTTGAATGGGTTCCCATGAATGGGATTGAATCTGGAATCTCCGTTTACTAGAGCTGCCATGATGCGTGTGCTGATTGGTTCGAGCGTTGTCACACGTAATTGCTGCCAAAATTGGGCTGAAGGTTGGTTCGAAGGTGTCTCGCGAAGTAGTTCATAAGCCGCCTAGAGAGAGACACCTGCCATTTTCACTCATGGCGATATTCAGAGAACGATTCCATCAAGGACCCTGCACTATGCCGCTAGCATGAGGCCGATGCCATTTACCCCGGAGCTAGGTAGACCATGCTAGCTGGATGACACCACCATCGGCGCGTCGGGCAAAGTGTCGGAGAACAAATCCGGAGCGGAAAGCCGGAGTAATCGAGCGCGAGGATACAACAAACAAGCCAGCATGGGCGATTAACGTAATGAGCGTGGTCTTTGCAATTCATACGCGGTGTTTTGACCGGGAAACGATGGGTCCAGGTGTCCACCACAAATTGTTCTCGAATACATACATGTCAAAGAGGGACTGGATATTCCGAACTTAAACTTCTCCTGGATTAGATAGACCTGCTCCTGACTTTCTCATAATTTGTACTTTGAAATAGTTGAGAATCGACATTATAGGTGGCAAAAATGACTTCATCAACAGACTCTTCACGAGGAAGCCCGCGAGATGGGCTGTCGCGTCACGATAGTCAAGACAGCCTACCCACATCACCCTCTGTATTGTCGATGGAGGATTCAAAACCGCACATTAGCAAGACATTATGTCCTAATCATTTAGCAACTCGACTTGCTGGACTGTATTCCGAAGCTATCGGTGCAAAACTGTGGAAAGTCGCATCAGAGCGCTTAGAAGACGGTGTAAGCTATTCGCATAATTTCCCTAGTGCTCTCAATATGGAATTGGAAAATGGAGCTCTAACATCGCGAGCAGAAAGCGCCTGCCGACTACCCTGAATGGGCGCCTGAAGACGGCGAGACACCAGGGCAGTACAACACTAAAGAAGTTAATTTCTGGACGTGCGGCTTCTTCCCTGGAAATCTGTACTGCATCCTAGAGAGATGTGTCAAGTATCCCATGTATCAGCCATTACCGGGAGTAGACCGCTCTGCTTTTCATGCTGAGTTGCTCAAGCTGTGTCGGGCTTGGTCGGCTCCTCTCCACCAGATGGCCAAGAGAACTAATACCCACGACCTTGGCTTCATCACTCAGCCTGCCTTGCGGCAAGATTGGGAGTTGACGGGAAACTATGAGAGCCTTGCTTCTGTGATAACGGCTGCTAATAACTTGGCATCTCGCTATGATGAGAGAATGAAAGCTGTCAGAAGTTGGGACAAATCTATCAGCAAGAGGTACTCCATCACTGACAAGGAGACTAATTTCCTTGTGATTGTGGACAGCATGTGCAGTAAGTCAACAGCAATAAGATGGGCAGATCATTACAGGTCTAACTGGAAGAAGACATGGATCTTTTATTCTACGCAGGACATCAGACGTCGGATCAGCGTCTCATTGACATTGCGACAAACCATGCCCATTTTGTTCGAAAGAATTTGATCCGAGAGGACGACTCAACATGGCATGTAGTCAATATCGATCCTCGTGATGGATCTCTTAAAACAAAGCACACTCATCAGGGCTACAGTGACGATTCAACCTGGTCAAGGTAGGAATCATATATATAACTGCTGGAACTATGCTAACGGATCCTTCAATAGAGGTCAAGCATGGACAATCCTAGGCTTTACACAAACTTACATCTGGACCAAGGACCAAGTTTTCCTAGAAACTGCTATTCGCCTGTCTGAGCATTTCCTCCAGCGTCTGCGAGGCGCGACGCATAAATATCCTTATGTGCCCTTGTGGGATTTTGATGCGCCCGTTGGGGACGAGCCATTGCGCGACTCTTCTGCAGGCATGATTGCTGCCAACGGCCTTTTGCTCTTACATCAGATTCTGGGAGACGGGTCAAAATACCTAGACGACGCGTTACGTATCGCAAGTGAGACCATAGACATGTGTCAAGCAACTGAGCCATCGCGACTGGTCGCCGATGCGGAATCTAACATTAGAGCTGAGGGAGTTACGTTTGATTGCGTCTTGAAGCATGCCACAGCGAACAATAACGAATATGCGCTTGTGAGATACAGCGATCACGGTTTAGTATACGCCGACTATTATTTCCTGGAGTTTGGCAACAAGCTATTAAGAATGGGTATGGTGTAAACGGAACAAGCCCCATTTCTATCTTGGTCACAAGAATAGAGTCTTTATCTGGTTGTATTAGGGAAGAATGTGGATGAAACTTAATGTATTTGCGATCGTTGGTACTAGAGATGGCTTTGAGGGGGATAGATGATGCTGTTTAGTCTGCCTTCCTTGGTGGACATAGAGATATCGTTGAAGACTTGCGACTTTTTAAGATCAAGCAAATATTCCCAACCTTTTGAACTTGTTACCGCCTGGTACATTAATAGACACCTCGTTCTTTAACCATCTTCCATTATTGCCACTTTCTTCCAGTATCGCTACTTTCTTCCAGTATCGCTAATTTTTTCTATTATCCCGACTTTCCTCGACTGCAAATTAAAATTCCCATTGAATCGAGAATCACCGTGCAAAATGGTAATGGCTGATGGGAGTAGTGTATGCTCTTGCAAAGGTTCATACCGGAGCTCCCTGCGCCTTGCATACTTCACAGTTACTCGCACCTAAAAAGATCAAGTTCGGGATGTATGCCACATAGGATATTGGCAAAACTAAGGCACGGAGACAGGAGGCGGAGGTGGACAACAATTTCGTCTTGGGGCTGCATAACGCCCTGTGTGAGTTGCAAGATAGCGCGTGTAGACAGTGGAAAACTTTTTGTTCACAATGGTAAAGCCAGTTAGAAAGGCACCGTTGTGGTTATGTACTAATTCCTTTTATGGACTTGTTTATTTCGCTGTTAACATTGTACTCGTACGGAATCATGCTTGGCCAATCTCAAGTTTTAGATCCCACATGGAAAGTAAACTCATACTAGTGTTGCCTAACTTGTTATATGACGGTCAAAAGAATTCTTCAACCTCTTCTTCAACAACCTCTGACTTCGACAACTTGCCCTGGTGCCTGGCCCGAGTGGAAGCTAATACTAGTCGCATTTGCGCCTAGTGTAGTCTGTAGCGAGGCGTGGAGTTTCCCAATTTCCCCCCGCTGATAGCTGGGTGTTATGGGGTTGTATGGAGTACTTCAAGACTCATTTGAAGCGGGGGACGACTTGCTCTTGGCGTCTGTGATGCCAAGAGAAAAAAGGGGGAAATAAGTTCTCTTGCTAATCTTTGTAGTCTCCTGCTCTTTGAGGCATATTACAGTTAGTTACCCCCAAAATGACCCAGCAACTTGAACTATGGTTATCTACTCTATAGTATTTTGGTGTATCGATGAGCCAAGTCACAAGTTTGTGTCCCTTCGTAATCGGATAATAAGTCGCATCTAAGTTTTAAGTGGCCAGTGCATAAGGCTGGACGAGTAACACAGATACGACATTCCATCTCGCTCAGAGATTATTAGCAGCCACGCTTCCGATATTGGGAACACAACTCGGCCCACTGGATCATTACCCTACCCTAGCCCGGCTAATGTGTCTTGGATCTCTGAAGAACAGGGCTAACGATGTCAACTGCGCTGGTGCAACCCGCTCAAATATCCTAGCGCAAAGGCGCCACAGCCCACTCCCCTCGCTACCGGAGATTTTGTTAATTTAGGTAGTACTGGTGAAACAGAAGAGGTTCACGCGACCGATTGCGCTCAAAGACTATGAACAATGTAGCGGTATGTAGTAGTGGCGGTATTGTCTCAGACACAGAATATGGATAACAGATGCTGAAAAGATATACTATCGTAATAAAGCATGTACGCCAATTATTCATTAATTCCCCAATCAAAGTCTCTGCGACATTATGGTACAAGAACAAGATGAAAAGAGAAACAAGCAAAAACCAGCCACTTGTGACCGTACAAGATTTTAGTGCCCTGCTCTATGTTTACCCATGCATGACTCTGATTAACGTAAAAAAGACGGGCTAATGCTGCGGCTGCGCAATCTTCTCCTTCTCAAAATACAAGCGCGCGACATCTAATGCTTCCTGGATGGAGAAGGCAATCCTTGTGCATTCGCAGTCGCGTGTCCAGGTGTTGTGGAAGTTGAGGTTCTTGCCCAGCTTGCTGTCCATGAGAACATGGGGAACTCCGATGAGTGTGGACAGAATGTGGCCGTGAAGACGGTCGGTGATGACGAAGCGAGCAGAGCCCAGGAGTTCGAATCCGGCAATGGCCTTGGCCCAGGCACGCTGGTTTTTGCCATTCTCTCGCTTGGGTGCCGGTGTGCCGTTGGCTTCATCACGGGCCTTTGGCGGGTCGATGTCCGGCGTGTGGGTGAATTTCCAGTCGACCTTCTGGTAGGTGACCTTGCCGATGCTTCCGCCGAGGTCCATTTCGCCTTCTCCAAACTCAATGTCGGACGAGTCGCCGTCGGAAATTTCCGCATCCTTTCGAGCGAGGATGAGAATATCGTGTCTATATGTTGAAAGAAAGCGATGGTCAGAATACGTCAAAGCCATACTTGGGGTGGCCTGCGGCGCAACGGAGACAAAATACTCACGTCTTTTTTCCATTGACTCGAAAGTCGGATCGGTTCCCCCACATGAATGCAATGTCTGGCACGAGATGGCTGTCGATTCCCTCCTTCTTGCCAAATGTCTTGTCGAGCCAGTCGTAGCTGGGCTGATCGCGTGCGGCAAGCTGCAGATCTTTGTGCTTCCCAAAAGCCTCTTCGGTCGCCTTGATGCGCTCCGGGTTGGTCATGTAAACGCTCTGGGGGAATGCTCGGATAGAAACGTTGGTAAAGGTCTCAATCATCTTCATACGCGAAGGCTGGTCCTCCCAGTAGTAGTCGTTGAAATTGCCGCCACCTGCCATGATAATGGCCGAATGAGGGCGGTGCTCTTCAAGGACTTTGCGAAATTTCCCGATGTCGCAGTCTCTGTCAACGAACCTGTATTGCGGAGAGAATAGATTAGGATGACGAATGATTCACAATCGATGCTGGTGTCAAGTCTTACCGACATGCCTCCATCATCTCAATACCGAGCATGCTCATGAGAATCTGCTGGGCAGACCAAATGGCAGCATCGCCCTTGTTCTCCGTTTCCAGATAACCCCAGATGTTTGCATATCGAACACCCTTCAGACTCTTGGTATATGCTTGGATGAGTCGTTGTTGGAGATCGTTGACAATGTCCTCACATCCGACCGAAGGTGGCGTCGTTAGGTCATAAGAAATGTTCCTTCTGTTCTCGCCCAAAGACGACGCAGAGCACTCCTTAGCCGGCCATATTGACGTGGAGCTAGGGAGATGTGATCTCAGGTCGGCACTCTGAGCCAGTATCACCAAGAGCAACGATATCAGAAGGGTGCCCCCAGCGATAATCGTGGCCCGGCCAAACCGATTTGCAAGCAGCATGGTGAGAAGCGTGCACCGTAGCTATGCTCTTTCAATGCTGACAGTGACACCTGCGTTCGGTTGTACAGGTGTCACGGGTATGAAGGTTGTCATAAGACAAAATTCGCCTGAGATAAAACCACAGTGGGACGTGTTAAAAGCGTCGCAAATAGCGAGCCTAGCGGCAATACGCCTGGCAAAGCTGAACAAGTAGCTGGTACTTTGATTCATTCTATTCTTGACCCATGTCTGCAGGCTCGAGGCTGCCCCTAATTCTGGTTCCAAGCAGGACGGTAGTGTCAGCTACCAGGATCTGCCAGTTTATCATCCCCACCACGCGGCCGGCTAGCCTGCTTCAGGGTTCTTGATACTAGGCCTAGTGTCCAAGCTGGTATGACAACGTCTCCAGAGTTGGGCTCATTAAAGGAGTGTGAGCTGCCTGGATAGCGGTAAATATTGATCAGCCTCCGCTATGTACACATGAGGAAAGTGGCGGCCGGGGCATGCTGGGGTTCTTGAATCAATAGAGAAGACTCCCGGATTTTAAACTATGGTCCGGGGCGATTCCTTCGTGTCAATCTTGACCTTTCCGTAACCTTTTTCCGCCTCTGGCCTTCTTCTTTTTTACGTGCCATAGTGGAAGGGCATGATGTTTTTGTTTCTGTTATCTTTATGACTGTATTATTTCTAACTAAACATGCTCAAGATGGTTTTCACCGCCTACTATAGGCGATTACGCTCATTCTACCTATTCTTTATTCTTCTTGCTATTGCATTACTTTTCCTCAGCAGCCGTGAGAGTACCAGGTCTATGCTACTTGGGAAGGACTGGCAGAACCTTTTCACGACGGATGACGACCTGTTATGGTGGAATGACCGTTTCCCATGTGAGAAGCATGAGCCAATACGTATCGCTATTGTCGAGTCTGCCGGCGTCCATGATGAAGTGACGGCAGCGTTGGTATACGCATTTGGTGGACACCCGAACGCAGAGCTGAGACTCTACTTTGCCAAACAGCGCTACCAGTCTGATGTTATCGTCAACGACCTGGAGCTGGAAACGCCCATTATGTCGGTCAACAGCTCCAACTACTTCAAGAGGGACGTCGCGAATCTTCCTCCTCCCCACTTCGTTGTCTCAACGACTTGCGAGCTGGATCTTGAGAAGCCAGAGTCCGTAGTAGCTCCTCTTCGACACCTCCTGTTTAACGAGACAACACATTTGTTCTGCCTGGTCCACCACGCCGACTACTGGAACAAAGGCAAACATGTCGACGTTGTTAGAGAATGGGTCGACAGGGAGCGAGTTGATTTCATCGGCCTCAGCCAGCACACGGTTGATTATCTTCTGCAAAAATCAGTACCCCAGTGGCAAAACTTGCAGGCAAGTGTCACGGCACGAACATTTCCCCCAATTTTCCCAGTCAACCAGACACACAACGAAACTTTGCGGGAGATTTCACTCGCTATGCAAGGAGATTATGCTCCCGAGCGCCGAGACTACAATCGAATCTTCGGCAGCCTGGACAACGTCGTGAAGAAGATTAACGAAAGCGCTGCTACAAACAGCGAGCACGTCGATGAGACGGTCAAACTACACTTGATCGGACATGGTCCACACGTCAAGGTGCCTGAAAACATCCAGGCCAATGTTGCATTTGACGAGGATCTTTCGTATCCCGACTTTTACAGACTACTGTCACAATCATACGCAGTTATTCCTGCATTTGCATCTGACACCTACCTCGACCGCAAGGCCTCTTCTACAGTCCCCGCTTCACTTATTGCGGGAGTTCCTTTGGTGGCGAGCGAAAAGCTTCTCGCCTCCTATTCATATTTGCCCCGTGAGGCAGCCTGGCTTTCAGAGCCAGACGAAAGGGAGATGGAAACGGTCGAAAGGGTGGTTGGTGATAGGAAAGCCTTCTTGGAGAAGAAAGAGGCCGTCAAGGAGGCCGCCAAGAAAATAATGAAACAGAACCGGTTGAACGTGAGGAAATGGATGGATGAGGATTTCAGAAAGAGTGGGATTGTCCCGGCGGACGTTGGCTCGGCATGATGACGGCCCTACAAGCGATTTCTACAGCATTACATTTTCGATAATTTCGGTCTTTGGGGTGGGCTTTTCTTATCATGTATGGATTACGTAGCATTTTTTTGCATTAGACTTACGAGAGATGGCCTCTCTGGTTTTTTTTTTCCTTCTCTTCGATACTTCTTCATATGAAGCCACTTCTTCTAGCTCCGCAAAACTATGGGAGCAGGAATAGTCTCTCTTTGGTTTTTATTCCCTCTGTATTTGCTGCAGACCCTCGTCATTATTACAAGGATAAAGCCAACAATCAGCCCTGAGTACCTGGTACAAAGAGGTCACTTGGGGTGGTATCGGAATAGGCGGCATTCGTCTTAAGAGTTGTCAAGTCTTGGCAACTATACCATCTCAACGGCTCTTCAATATACGCGGCTATGAGTGGCTGGCTGATGTTCTCTAGCTCCCTCATATTATTATTAGCGGAGCCTGCCAAGTCTTTAGCGTGATGGAGGCGACGTAATCAGGGATTGCACCTGAGCGCCGTTGCGCGCCTACTGGTGGTACGAGTCAATGGGAGAGCTGTGCTTATTGGACCGAGTAGGAGTATCATCAGCCGCAAATTTGTGAGATCCTTGGATGTGCCTTGTTTGCTTGAACTTTGCTGCTACTAGTAGTTCCGTGCCTGTATGTAGGGGAAAGGGGCGGCCGCGTAAGTGGATGATCGCCGAAACGGACATTCGCAAAGTTCTCCGTTCTGTCTGTAGACGCAAGCACACGGAAAATCGGATGCGTTATTAGAAGAATATTACAGAGACGCTCGGAAAGTCTCATAAAATAGCTCTTTATTATACGAGTATATACTGCTAAGGCATGCTGCCTACTCATACAGTATACGAGTACAGTACAAACATGACAGCTGTAGATATATCTCTATGTAATTCCATACAGTACGGCTCTTTATAAAATTACAGTACAAATGTGCTATATCCATGGGGCATTTTTCCGTCAACGACTTGGTGGGCCGTGTCCGATAAGATGATCCCCACTACAGAATTTACCACTCCATGCTACTGAGCCTTGTTGAGGATCTTCGTAGCCATGGTGGTAATACTGAACTCCGTACTCCGTAGTGCCTGTAATGTACGAGTATGGTGTGAGAGCCGCATGGAATAATCTTTCCTGGCAAGTCACTAGCTTGCCCCTTTACTTACTAGTGCTAGCATTTGGAAACCTGTGCATTTCCGTTGCCTACTCGTTCAAGCACCTAGAGATTTTGCTTCTGTAACCAGAGTGCGAAGTAGTCGTGTTGTATGTTCCTTTCGTCGCCGTGTTTACGGAATAATATTCCAGCCATTCGTTTATTCCTTTTCCAGTCACTCGCTCAGACCCTTTCTTACGAAATAGAAACGCTCCAGGATGAGTGAAGCTCCAGAGGCCCGTCCGCCCTCCAGGCGCCGAGTCGCCTTGGTTGTGCTCTTCCACTCGACGTGCGCCATCTTGAGTACAATTCTTTCCAAATCTGCGTTAAACGGCATCGACGCTCCCGTGACATTGCTGGCTTTCCAGACGACTGTACAAGTTGTGCTCCTCACAACCATCGGCTACTTTACAAAATGGATTACACTGTCAAGACCCGTTTCGGTATGTTCCTGTCGTGATAAGTGGCACTGCTTATCTGTCCCACGATCAAGTTGCGATCATCGTGGAACCGACGATATCGATGCTACGACGCCGCGCATTCGTGTGACAGCTACTAATATGGAATGGTACTTACTATAGGCTTGGATTGCACTTCTCCCACTCACTGCCGCCCGACTTGTCGGCATTCTCGCAAAGACGTACTGCTTGGCTTCGGTTAATGCATCAGTCTACCAAATCGCTCGAGGACTTCTACTCCCATTCACCCTCATGCTGTCGCTTCTTGTCCTCCGACCTCGCCCTTACTACCCGCCGTTGTCCCTGGGTGGATGCGCCATGGTCATGGCTGGTTTTGGCGCCGGAATGGCATCAGACTACAGCCAGATGCTCACCAGTGGCAAGGGTGTATTGCTCGGAGTTATCTCTAGTTTCACCACGGCCGTCGAATCCGTTGTCGTCAAGCGCTTTCTTGGCAAGAGCAGCGAAGGAATGTGGCAGATGGTCTGGATGTCGAATGTCATGGCTGTTGGATTCTACGTGCCGCTGCTTGTCTTGTCTGGCGAACTGGGAACTACTGCAGCTCTTTTCAGCTCGACAGCCACAGCTGAAGTATCTGCCACTGCTCGCCAGTTCCTGGGCACAGCAGTGCTTACTGGCGTGGCCGGATTCTTGCTCACGATAGCAACCTTCATGCAAATCGAAGTCACTAGTCCAACCACTCACATGATTGTGACAGCCGCACGAGGTGTGGCCCAAAGCGCCATCGCTGTTGTGACTCTTGGAGAGCCAATCACTGCCAATCGCGCAGGCAGCATGGCTCTCATTCTAAGTGGAAGTGCCCTATACGGTTGGGCCAAAGACCGTTATGCGCATAGCAAAAAGGGAAGCTATTTGCCCGTTGCTCAAGAGGCTCAAGAGTCTCAACTCGACACATTAAACAAAGAAGGCCGATAGAGTCACATAATCGCCTGCGATCTTACGCACATTCTCTAAACTTATACTATACTAGAATTTGTATATTTTACTTATACTGCATTTGCGTTGGTCAAAATTAGCGATTGGCATTTTACGAGTTCTATGCTTCGATGGAGAGGCAGCGACGCGGTGGTCTGGTATACGGTACATATGTAGATAGGGTAATAAATAGATGCGGAGCTATTTTGTCACGTTGCGTATCTTTTTATAAAAGCTATATCGAGTAGCTTGTCGTTAGGCGGCTGGTATCACCCCAACTTTGGTCTATATAAATATCTTTGGTTCTCACGATTCTGGTACATGTACGGCGTATGGGAGAGACATAGGAGGTTCGTATTGCTATGACGTATAGCTGCTGGGAATATCTCGTATGCCGATACGGAGTAGATCGTGAAAAAATGATTGGCTTCGCTTAAACTAGGATATTATTCCCGTTGAGGTCTGTTCCAGTTTTACGAACCAGCTCTAAGCCCTATGAATCGAGGCGCAGCACCGCATGCCACTCCATAATGATAACTTTAGATCGTATAGGGTGGGACTGCAGATAATGGATGTTAATTAACAGAAGTTTGGGGTGCTGTCTTCTACTACTACTTCCAGTCCCATTACACATAGTAACACACTCACAAAATCTTCTTGAAATATTAATAGGAAGGGATTTCCCTTACACGCTTATCCCGACTCTTCATAAGTTTGTGTTTAATGTAATGGTTATCTTGGGTGTGCTGTTTTCTCCTTTGTTTCTCTTAAACTGTCTTTTATGCGACCATGCTGAAACTCTTCTAGACATGGTACTACTCAATGAATGAAAAGCTACCGTAGATCTCAACTTTCTTTTCTATGAGTAAAGGTATTTTCCAAGGCCTCAATTCGAACATGATAGTAACAAATACTGGATGAAAGTAGCAGTAGTAGAGTCTCAACATGATAGTAGCATATGCTAGACGAAAGGAACGATAGCATAGGAGAGTCATGAGGGCAGCAGATACCTAAATAGGTAAGATTCTAATAGATAAGTTTTATTTATTCTGTATATTGTTGTGACATTTGGATTATACGTAGTCGTTGGGCTGTTTGAGGACGACTCAATATTTTAATAATTCGTTTTGCTTCGAAACTATAGATGATTGAAGTTTCCTATTTATAGCTTCTTAAATAACACCTTTACAGTGGGATCTGCCAGTACATTGACCTCGAACATAAAGTTCTTCGGCCGTCCCTTTACTGAATCTTCAAATTTGATATCATAGTTTGAAAGGATGTAGGACAAGATAATCTTGATCTGGTTGCTCGCAAAAAACCGACCAGGGCATGCGTCATTGCCGAAACCGAACTGCATGCTATCGTATGATGGACTCGCAAACTGAAACCTGTTGGTGTCTTCAGGGTTCTCTCGCAGACGGTAAAATCTGAAACCGTCAAACGCATGTGGCTCACCCCAAGCAGCTGGCGTTTCATCGAGAATGTTGGTATTACACTGCACAATTGTTCCTTTGGGGATGTGAAAGCCGTTAGATAGATCAATTGGAATCATGGCTTTTCGCTGGTAAGTAGCTGTAACCTATGTTAGCCTTGACGAAAAGGTTGAATCGTTCTTCAATGCGGAAACTCACCAACGGACGGGGGACTATGTCTTTGAGACTCCTTCATGAAGCTGTCAAGCTTTCTCATCTGTGTCAAGTGCTGCTTTTGTAGAATACCGTTAGTGTCTCTGGTTACCTCCCTGATTTCTTCTCTAAGAGGTGCTATGTATTCAGGGCGAGCTGCAATGTCGTACAAGGCATGAATGATGGCTAATCTGGTTGTGTGAATGGCCGCTGTTGCTGTAAGCATTTGCAAATTTGCCAACTCTTTATAGTCAAATGACTTGTCTCCAAGCTTTTGAGCTCTCTGCTGCATCCACTGTATCATATCTTGTCGAGGCGGCTCATCAGGTTGTCTTGTTTCTGCGGCTCTCTTCTTCAACTCCGGCATCAGCAGATCAAGCGCACGCTGATGATCGCCCCTGATCCGTCTCATCTCTGGGATCCAGTATTGGGCAAATGGACGAAGCCATGGGTGCCACAGTTTTAGTTTTTCACCACCAGTCATGACATCTAATGCGAATTTGGTGCTACATTCAAGCCACTCATCATTTCGGCACATTGGATAACCGACAAAGATACGAGCAGAAGCTTGGGCTACAATGCGAAGCAGTGTCTCGTGGAGATCAACTGGGGTCCATTCTGCAGCTTGTGTGAGATAGAGAAGATTATTAGCTGGACACTGAGAAGGACATACCTTCGCAAGAGGGGAAGTTGGTCTTGAAGCAGTGGGAAACTTCTTGTTCCACATCCCCGACAAACAAGCCCAAGTTCCTGTTCAAATCAATCTTGATAGCTCCAAGCATCACGTCGCTTTCATGATCAATTGTGGTGTAATGACCAAGATGACGCTAGATAATTAGTTAGATATGTGGACTCTACGTGTGAGTTCAGACATGTAACATACGTCAGCTAGAGCCTTCATTCCGCTGGCTTCATGCCGCTTAAATGGCTTCAACTCATTGGCAAATTTTCTTGGTAGAAAAAGTCTTGGGCCATCCGGAGTAAGGACTTGGAAAATGGTGTTCTTGAACTATGTTGAAATAGTTGTTAGAAGTGGTAAAGCAATCTGAATTGTTGCCAAATCAGCTTACCTTTTCATATCCCTCTCGAAGAAGAACGTCGGCTTCTTGTACATATCGCATCTGAGAATCTTCACCAAGAGTAGGAACATTGAACCCTTTTGGTGATTTCCGGTAACCGGAAAACAGAGCTACGAGTATGACAGCCACAGCTGTTAGGGCAGGCGATACCCATGCCAGCGTAGGAAATGACTCCATGTCTGCCAGCAACTCTGAGAATGCCATGTTAACGGCTTGATCTTCTCAGAGTGAACTGTGAAAGAAAATTGAAACAAGCTGTCAGCACGAAGAGGGAGCACTAGACCAATATTGTAAGCTTCAGTCGTCTTATATCCTACGGTGGAAACCCCACGAGATTGCTGGTTCCTCACAGGGGCCTGAAAAACATATATGGGACTTTGTCAATGGGGAAACAGAACGTGCATGCATAAGCAGGAGGAATGTAACCTACGTTTAGGCTGTGTAAATTGATGTGTCCAGTTCAATCAACCATTGAAGATGCATTGATTGGTAAACGGCCCAATGGAAAGAAAATCGGAAAGTTAATTGGCTAGCATTGGAAAGGAATGATAACTCGCTATCGTGTTTCCCTTTTGGACCAAGCCAACAAGCTAATAATACACGAGTCCAATATGTTATCGTCAAAATATTTTCAAGAGTAGCAGGGTGTTACTGCACGTTATTAGAGCAAAGCCAAGCAATCTGCAAGCGCTAAAAAGATCGACAAGGGTAGGCGGAGTCTACGAATTACTGCACATACGAGTAAATGCCGTTCTGTCTTACAGGCGCATTGCAACGTGACATCGCCAATTCACCATTATCTTATCACTAACACCACAGTATCAGCAATGAAAGACCGAGCTAAGCGAATCCTAGGTTTCTTTCCCTGAATCCTACCTCTTTTATCAGATGAACCATCTCGTATTCAATATCGGCCGCTTTCCGATCGTGATTAATTGGATTCTGTTGGTCTTTGCGCCATGACATGACGGTAGAGCGCGAGATGCATTGGCGTGAAATCGTCACCTTCCGTCTCTGGGAGACGCGGATATGCTTCATTAGCCTTCAACATCATGTCCTTTTAAGATGGGGCGTCATCATTCCATTTTTCTCAATCCTTGCTTATCTGCTGTTGCCATACAAGGCTCTCGTGCATATTCATTTTGTCTATATCGATTCTGAGACGTGAAGAACAAGAGAAATGGCCCCTTCCAAGGTTGAAGAAGTATCTCATCATACGAGCACGGTCAAACCAGAGGTCCCTGATGGTCTGAAGCTCATACCAGCAGAAAAGCTGGACCTTCGTTCAGATGAAGAGATAGCAGCATGGCTTCAACTGCGACATCCGGTCACGTCAGATAAGAATGTCTGGGCATTCTGGCACTCTGGCTACAGCAAAATGGCCCCATGGGTTCAGCGGAATGTCATCAATTGGGTTCGCCGTCTCGGTCCAGAATGGACAGTACACCTTCTCGACCGGGTGCCCAATTCCGAGACCAACATCTACCATTTTGTCGAGGAATCATTCTTCCCCGATGCGTTTAATAACAATACTATGGATGGACCTCACGTCGGCCCTCATCAAGGAGATCTTATCAGGCTTCCATTGTTGTGGAAATATGGCGGTGTTTGGATGGACGCCGGCTCATTCTTATTTCGACATATAGATGACATCTGCTGGAAAGAGATTGAGGACCCTGCCTCGCCTTATGAGATGGCTGGTTTCGTCATCGAGATACGCCCTGAATGCCTCACTATGCTTAATGGATTTATTGCGGCCAAACGCGGTAACCCATTCATTAAGCGCTGGCATGATATCTATTTAGCACTTTGGGAAGGGAAAACAAACTCTCATGGCTTCCACAAGTCTCCTCTTCTCAAGCATTTACCTCTTCTCTGCCCACCTGTGGACAAGATGAACTGTCCAGATCTTGGAGTAATGATGGAAGGCTTCAGCGATTACCTCTCGCACTTTATGGCCTTTGAGCGTCTAAGGAAGATCATAGATCCATCAGATGGGTTCAACGGTCCAGAATACTATGCTAAGCATATGTTTCTGGCTTCAGCCCTTCAGGAAACATTTTACTTTCAGCAAGTGACGGGCTGGTCTGGCACACGCCAATTTGAGCTTCTTACGAAACAGCGCGTGGGCGAAGGTGTTGTCAAGGATGAAACTTGGCAAGCTGCAGAGGATTTTGTCAAAGATGCACTTGCCAATACATCTACGATGAAACTCTCTCACGGCCCACCCGGAGCTTTGGATTCGTTTTTGGCAGACCTTTGGGATTCTGAAGAGCATCATGATAAGGATAACATAGAAGGTACATTTGCAGCCTATCTGCGATACGGAAGCGTGCATTTCGATCAGACGCGCAAGTTGAAGCCACTTGAGTTTGACATTACGAAGGAAGAGATACTCCACCTCGGAGTTTTAGAGCCAAAGAAGGATTAGAAGGATTGGTTACGGAGTAGATGCTCCATAGTTGTGCTCGAATGAAACGTTTGACCCAAACAATGCATGCCTCTTTATTGCAATAATGTTCTGTTTTATACGGTGCATTGCGTTATCTGACAAGCATTCCATTCCACAGTTATCCGTCTATCACAAACTCCACTTACACTGCAGTAGTTGTAGGCAAACGGATATGCAGGCGCTGTCAAGTGATATAAGATTTTGAGGTCAACACAGGCAAGCTCGATTGACGGCGGTAGTGCTGAGGTGAGAATCTCCCGATCGGGGCTTTGCCACAAGCGCTGGGATTACAGCTGCTGTTAAAGGTTAGTCAATACGCGGGGATTGACAATGAACCCACGGTCCGAACTAGCTGCACTACTGAACACGAGAAGCAGTATCTAGATTATCTCTGCAGCAAATTTAGCCATGGATCATATGAAAGAATTTGGCCTTACGGAAAAGAGGTAGCTGCCGAGGATGACGAGAGCTATTGAATATCCGGTCAGATTCTTCAAACATGAAACGATCCATGATGCTTGCTGCATATCAACCTAGGGATTAGTGGTGTTACATTCCCAGTACGGCATATGCCAGTTAATATCTCGGACGCTGGGAGTTTTTTCCTTTTTTTGGTTAAGGAGCACTTGACAAACTAACCAGCTATGAGTATGGTTTGAACGAGGCTCAGATTTGCAAGGATCTGCTGATGGGATCTTTCGTCCCATGTTGCCTGCATGCACATCACGTAATTTGTGTAACACGAAGCTCCACTGCACTCAGACCGCAGCATCCTTCGCCTCGTCTTAGCTTTGTCGCGCGGGCATATCCAAGGTTCCCCGGATAGCCTACAAGTGATTATGGAGTTTTCGTAAATCGTAAGATATCGATTTAGTCATCGTTACATATCTATTCGGAGCTTCTTTGAAAGGGTTCGGGCCTCGTAACGTTAATGCGTCCCTTTGAGGGGCTATTGACAACTGATTCAGGTTACATTGATATCAGAGGATGGATTTGATAAGATCTTGGCTTAAGATATATCCGTACATCCGTAGAGCCCATTTAAAGAATGTTAAATATCCTGCTAATACAGCGGGATCCAAGAGCCCGTCGCCTGGAACAAGACGGCATTATTTGGACTAATCTGATACCATGGATCAACTCAGGAGTCTCGTCTTTTTTTTACGTGATGTTGCTTTGAAGCACACACTTGGTACTAGCCATACCAAGAATGATACCACAGAGATATTTGATGAACGTAAAGAAGTCATAAAGAGAGTCTTGAATAAGAAAGTTCTCGTGCCAGATATTCTTGCGCTCATGCCTGCTTGGATCAGTGAATTCCAACCAGATATTGATGAAATCAACTTGGAAATTGACGAATGGCTGAAAACGTGAGTCTCAAGTTGCTCTTATTGACAACATTATACTGATTCGTGTTCAAAGCGTCAATGTGGCAGAGGAGAAGAAAGCTAAGCATCGAGCCCGTGGCAACTATACCCTCCTAACGGGTATTTACTACCCTCACTGCAAGAAGGACAAGATGCTGGTGCTTTCACAGTTTCTTTATTGGGTATGCACTGATATATAGTCCCATTTCATGACACTCTCATGACACCTTCATGACACAAAGCTAATATGTGATGCAGATATTCTTTTGGGACGACGGTACAAAGCCCTACAGCTAATAATATTCGATATTTTGACGCTGACTTTGTCCGATAGAGATTGACACTGGGGGTGAGCTCACCCACGACAGAGAAGGCACACTACAGTGTTGTGCTGAGACAAACAAGTGTGTTGACGATTGTCTCGGCCCCAATCCCAATTACACGCCTCCACCAGGTTCCCGAGGTACTGTAGAGATGTTTTATCCTATCCTCAGGGATCTCCGAAAGGGACTTGGACCCAGTTCCACAGAACGCCTCAGAAAGGAGCTGCACGACTACATCAATGGAGCCAGTACCCAGCAGCATGTCCGGGAGGCAGATCATCTTCCAGATCCATGGGATCACTTCAATAATCGTGCAAATGACGTAGGCGCCATTCCTTCTATCACTCAGAATGAATTTGCCATGGAGTTTGAGCTCCCGGAGTGGGTGCGCAGGCACGAGGCCATGGAGGAGATTGTTTTGGAGTGTACCAAATTGACGATTCTTGTCAACGAAGTTCAAAGCTCCCAGAAAGAATTTGTGAGTCACCATCCTTATTTGAGCATTCATTTGTGTTGAACATTTACTTGTATTGAATATTCATTTGTGTTCACGTACAAAGGCGTTTGGTGATTAACCCTCTCTCAGCGCGTTTCACAACTTGAGAACCTTTGCTTCCTTTTCATGAACGCCAACAACCTATCGATTGAAGAAGCCATAGACAAAGTTCTTGGTATTTTGAAAGAGCATTATGAGATTTGTGTGGCTGCGGAGGCCAGGCTTCCTTGGAGCAAAACTGACGAGAAATTTAATGAGGATCTCCGCGAGTATGTGCGCGGATGCCAAAGATTAGCGACGGGCACCGCATGCTGGAGGTAAGTTGGACATTTACATGTAAATTATGTTATTCCAAGATCGCTGACATGCATACATAGCTACAACTGTGAGAGATATTTTAAACTGAGCCAGTTGAATGACAAGCGAGAACTATTGTTGGATTACTCATACCAAAAATAGAAGGATTACTGCAAGACGATAAGATATAGAAGCTTTAGAAACATTCCTACACACCGATCTCAAGAATACGGGTATACAATTGGTAGACTATTAGACAATTTGATCAGGGAGTTGCCAAAAAAAAAAAAAAAAAAGAAATTAGCAACGATTTATTGAGAAGACTGATCTTTCTCGGGTAAATTATGGCATCAAGCCACTCATTGATCTTCTTTTTTGACTTATTTAGATATAATCTGAATACTCGGATTGCCTTGAAGAAGATTTTGACCTGCAACAGCGTTGTTGGCATCGATTGTTAGCATGCCTTTTTCGTTGCCCTCACTGTCCACTAGCTTTGCCTCAGCTCCAGTACTAGCTTGATACAAACGAACTTCAACGTCCTCAAGATAGTTGTATACCGTCCGCCTCTCGCCCTCCTTGCCTAAAACCAGAATAGTGTTCTCGCGGACGTAAAGTGGCAGTGTATCAAAGTCGTGCTTCTCTTTCACCCACCTAGGCCCGGATTTTACTTCCCCAGTGAAAAAATTCGTCCATCGACCTTCAGGCAAGTAGAACTCGACTTCTCCAGTCTCTTCAAAAATCGGAGCCACCAGTAATTTGGATCCAAGCATGAACTGGCGGTCAAGATACCACGAGGTTGGGTCTTCCGGAAACTCTGGAGAATAATGTTAGTCATTGGCACTCATATTGCTCACTCTTCTAACGGAGCAATCATACCTAAGCACATGGCGCGAACACTTAGCGGAAGGCCTCCTGCAATAGATTCTGCGGCTTGCGCATATAAATAAGGCATGAGGCGGGCCTTTAAAGCAGTCCATCTTGCCAATGTCTTCGCGCAGCTCTGTTCTCCCGGGTCATCGTTGTCAATCGTCCAGGGAACACGGTAACTGTTACTACCATGAAGACGGCTATGCGATGTTAATAAGCCAAATGCAACCCATCGTTTGTATATCCACGGCGACGGGTAGCCCTCAAAGCCTCCAATATCCACGCTCCAAAAGGAGAAACCACAGAGACCAAGAGACAGCCCGCCGCGAAGTGACTCAGCCATTGCTTCAGGAGTCGACTCGCAATCACCGCCCCATTGTAGAGGAAACCTTTGGCAGCCTGCTGTCGATGCTCTTGCAAAGACAACGGCCTCAGATTTACCGTGGCGCTTCTGTAGAGCTTCATACACCACCTTGTTGTAGATAAAGGAGTAGTAGTTGTGCATCTTTGACGGGTCCACGCTTGGATCATGCCACTGTATATCCTCATTGACCGGGATTCTTTCGCCGAAATCTGTCTTAATGGCAGAGACACCGGTGTCGAAGAGAGCTTCCATGCAGCCAACAAACCACTTTGTAGCCTCAGGGTTCGTAAAATCCACAATTCCCATTCCCGCTTGCCAAAGATCCGTCTGCCAGACATCACCATTTTTTCTCTTTAATAGATAGCCTTTCTCTGCTGCCATCTTGAACACGGGCGAAGCCTGGCCGAGGTATGGATTCGTCCAGACACATACCTTGTTGACCAGGCCACTAGCCTTGAGGCGGCTAATCATGTTTGCAGGCTCTGGAAACATTTCCGTATCAAAAACAAAATCGCACCAGTGGAATGCTTTGAGCCAGAAGCAATCATAGTGAAATACCTCGACCGGAATATCACGAGCTGCCATGCCCTCCAGAAATGAGCTGACGGTTTTCTCATCGTAACTAGTTGTGAATGATGTAGAAAGCCAGAGACCGAAACTCCAAGCCGGGACTCTTCCCGCTCTACCAGTCAGAGTGGTGTATTTATATAGAACCTCCTTTGGCGAGGGCCCGTATATCAAATACCATTTGAGACGCTGACCTTTGACGCTGGTTTGTACCCGGCATGAGCGTTCGCTTCCAACTTCCAGGTCAACTTTGTCTGGAGTATCGATGAAGACGCCATATCCCCGACTACTAAGCCAGAACGACACGTTCTTGTAGGCCTGTTCAGAACTTGTGCCACCGTCCTGGTACTGGTTAGCGTGACGTGCTGACAAGCATATCAGTGGAGGACGTGGCAGGTGTCAAAGCGTACCGAATTCCATAGAGTGATACTCTGGCCGACTTTGTTAAATGCGCCAAAACGTTCACCAAGTCCGTGTACAGTCTCCCCCACGCTAAGTGTTGTCTGGGTGAACATGTAGTGATCAAAGTTTCTCATATCATCGAGCTGAAGAGGGGTACTAGGCGCTGGACCATAAGCAAAGCCCACGCTGCGGTTTTGTAATGATGTTAAAGCCTTAGATCCATCTGTTGCATGGAAACGGATATCAAACGTATGTTGGTCAGGATGAATCGTAGCGCTCACGGAACCTGACGCAATTGTTGTGCCTTTGTCCGACACAGAAATACTAGCATCGTCCTGAGGCTTTCCTTGAGGGAAAAGATCGAAGTCAGGCCCCTTCTTTGCAGCTCCAGACCAGTGAGTGGCTTCGATAGAAATCACGCCATCAAAAACGGCTTCAATATCCTAAAAAGATCAGCATCTTTATCCATGTACCTAAAATTTGAGGTATACTTACAAGTGTCACAGTAGGCAGGTTTAGAGTATCACCCCGCGAACGAACGTGTTTTGTCGGACATAGTAATGATAGGGCTCGACCATCCGCCCGTTTTGTGATGGTATATACATCCTCTGCATATTCCGTCCTCTTCCCCTCTATGGGCAGCCACATGCCATCCCTGAACTTTGTCATTATGCCTTTTCGCGCAGCTACGCCTCTCTCCTTTAGTGATTGTTAAGATCAATTGACCGGTATAGCTGTTATACCTGCAGAAGCGGCGCGGCCACGGAAATAAAGAAAACGTCTATTCTTAGTTGCTCATAAGAGGGTTTCTATGGCTTGATGTTTCGCAGGTGGCAATGATCAGTCGGATGCTTCTTGCGTTTAGGCTAAAATCTCGGGTGTCGCTGAAGCGCTCTAATAATGATCAAGATCTTTAGCTGCGTAATGTTTCCAAAACGAGGGCCTTCGGAGAAGTCGACGAGCGCTAAGAAGACATTTTGCCGATGTCGAGCGATATACCGAGTTCCACCAATCGTGCCACTCAACAGAATGTTATGGGTTTTGCATATAAAGTACGGAGTTCATTACCACTCCGTGCTTAGCGGGGCCATCTGATAAAGCTGAGACGTTAGCCCGTATGGTGGCGTCGAGAGCTCGGGGTCAATGACCCGAGTGCGAGCATGCATGCTCGGTATACAATGATGCGAAGACCGTAATGGAGGGAAACTGTACCGAGTATCTGGAGCACATTAGATCTCAAACTCTATCACAACTTACATCGTGGAGCTGGAGACTTGCAGTGTTTCTTGCAGCCATCGTCTTGAAGGCGACAGTCTGGAAGGGCTTTGCGATGGTGTTTTCATAACTGTGAAGATTACTATGCAAGATGCGAAGCTCACCTACTGGCGGAGATATTATGGTTAACAAGCAATGTCCGAATTCTTGAGACGTTTAGAATGATGCTATTCATTACACAGCCACATGATTATTTTTCGATAGCTTTATGGGTCAATCTGCGCCCTTTCGTGAGCATCAAGTCGCTATGATCTAGCTGATGTGATTATTTCCCACAAGTTTCGGCCAACTCGAAAGGTCTAGCGTTAGAGTAACGCCGTCGGAGCAAAGCTTTGTAGCTATCCCAAAAAACCCTTTGTACTGGCTTAGCTTGTATTATAATAAAACCAGATATAAGAGACATTTAGTATCAGCATTGATATTATCCAGACCGTAGGCAGCTTAAGATAGATAACGAACAGCACGGCATTAGAGGCAGGCAGTCCTACTTCGCACGGTGTCCCATCTAGCTGGGACATCACCCCACTGCATCTTGACCGACACATTCGGAGTATTACACAGTAGCTTCGGAGTAGTTATTTTGTAAATGCATGCGATCTCGTAACGCTACAGTCTATCCCCGCGTTCCAGGATGCAGAAAGTCCGAAGTTTGTATTTGGTCGTGCCATGTTCTGAGCGAGGATGATTAGTAGAAGACCCCGGTAGAGGGGCAACTGGCCGATGACCATAAGCGAACTGCAACCTGAAATCTGGATGGCCGGCTCACGAGACAAGATCTAATTTGCCATTGTTTCCGATGAGGTCCATCTAAAGCTTCTTGTGGGTGATGAATTACACACAGTACTACGTATTCACGTGGTACAGCTGAGTCGTAAAACATAGCGACAGCCGGAGAGAGGCAGCTCCTCAGGGGAACGAACATTCTAACCGCCCGTAAATCCCTGTGGACTTTGCGGAGTAGAAGCGTCAAGTCATCAGTGTAATGCCGTTGGTGACTAGTTGCCTATCCAACCACGGAACGTAATCATCCGCGTCCAAACTTACATGCACTCCGTACACTAGGAATGCCAACCATGTTAGCAGTGTTCGGGTAAAAGAGGGGCAAACGTGGGGTTGAGAAGCATTTGAAGCCATCTCAAAAGCATCAGTCGATATGCCCATCAATCATCGAAAGCTAAAGGCTTGCCGAGACGCGCATGGATTCGATGGCTTGTAATATCGATATGAGCACTACTGCGAGTATAGGCTAATACTGATTAACCGTGTGGATAATTGCTATAAAGTTCCAAAAATGACAGACACAGGGCGATCTGGTGCGGTCTGGGCTCTTTCTATTCCTAGACTTGCTGTTTGGCGCTCCAATTACCTTTGATCCCGAGAGTGGTACGAGCTAATGATGCCAGCTGACCGGTATTCGCCCAACTTTCATACCTTTCCAATCTGTATAAGACTCGGTACATGTCCACAATTGTGGCCCTCAAGTTAAAGCCTTTGTAATCTGGTCTGGTGCGTTCATGACTTAAACTTAGTGGTTGGATAGTCTTCCATATCACACTACTGCCATGGCAGAAGTACACATTACAAAGGCGGCGGCCACTCACCTTGAGGAGACTCTCGGTGAAGGTGCGATCGTCGATGCCAAGCATGCCTCCGACGAAGAACATTCGCAGACCTTGTTGCAGGC